TATATATTGGGGGTATCGATTAGATAGAAATAAATCGTATATGATCTCTTGTCCAGCCAGTGACAAATCTTCCCTCAATTACTAACTGTATAGTGTTTTGACACTCGGTATGCCCTTTTAGGAACTTCATTGCCGTAGTTCACGTATATACAAGGAAGTTCAATATCGTACAATAGTCTACAAGAAAATGGCGCTTGAGTTCGCGCATGCGTACTAACAGGCGGACAACGGCAAAATGGTGCCCGTCCAACATATAAAACATCCGCTCCCTACAGTTGAGGCACTATTGTACAATCACTCACACTCATAATAATGAGGTAAGCTCACCCACTAGGCACTGGTTGTGTGTCTGATCTGTTTCTGTACTCATTGGCGCTCGCACATGCGCGATAGGCACGTATGTAATTTTTTGCCTTCAACAAAATGGCGCCCGGACGCACGTACATGCGCACAGAGCACTGAACATCGGCAAGATGGCGCCTGTTTAATTGACACAGGCGCCCAAAACACACACTATATATATAGCCATCCTGACGTCCGGCAGCTATGGCGCTTACCCTTCTGATGATGTACGTGTGATACGAAACGCGCGTCAAGGAGTAGCCCGTGTTAGCCGTGACGTCTAGCCGCCAGATCAGGGAGGTCCGGCGGCCCCCCCTTTTTCACCAGCTGGTCAGTGTTATGCTGCATTCAATTTTATTATATCCTTTGTGCACGAGGATTGTTTTTTTATATTACAGTACCTGAGAAGTGTGTCTTTTCTATTTTTCTAAAAATACTACACTATGGGTACTCCTTTCTGCTCCACTACGAGCATTTAATTCCTCAGGACCATCAGGTGATCATCCCAGGGCCTAGAAGAGAGCTGTAATCGGCAGAACCCATCGTGAACCAAACTCATCTAGGGACCCCAGACGTTCCATTACCTACCGCGGAGTTATCCAATCCAGGCCACGCTCTATCCACAACCAAAGGGACCTCTGGTGTACATGACACAATTGCGCAGTTAAATTGTGCCTCTGGTGAGTGTGCAATTTACTTATTGTTCCTGCGCTGCACCGGATCACAGGTTCCACTGGGATTCTATCAAGTCACCATTTTTCAATTATATTGTGGTTTACCATTCATAGTTATTCTGGACTATTATTTGCCCTGTGTGTTATACTACTGTATTTACAATATCAGTGAAGGAATTTGACATAGTTTCACCATTGCTACAATTTCCTAAGGACATATTGGCCCTGATTTACTAAGACCTGAGTCTACTAGCAGACTCTGAACATTCAGGCAGACTCAGTTAAATCAATCAAGACCTGTCAGTCTTCTGAGCGGCGTCTAGCAATCTCATTGACGAACGTCTACTTTGCTATTAGTAAATGTGGAATCGCGTCTGGCACATTTTAGGTGCAATACTGGATATGTTCACTAGATGGTGCACAAGCGCGGGCATTGTAGCATTGGCGTTTTTCTATTAGCATAAGAGAATATTTAGAATGTAACATAATTAGTAGAGATGAGCGAATCGAAGTAGCCGAAGTGGAATTCGAGTCGAATTCGAGTCGAATATCGGAAAAATTTCGATTTCCGAAAATGGCGGCTGACATGTGCGGCGACGGAGCGGGGGATGTCTGGGAAGGCGCGCAGACAAGGCGCGCTGACCCATAATGCATTCCTCAACGACATGTGATCGCATCAGCCAATCAGCAGCCAGCCAGCTAGCACTGTGTAATGGTCGAGCTATAAATAGCGGCCATTTTGGAATTCTTCATTTGCCTGCAGTCATTGAACAGAGGCAGACCGCTCTGTATTAGGGACAGGGACAGAGTTAGGGCCACAGAAACGATACTTGGGGACAGAGAAACGATACTTAGGGACAGAGAACTATTACTCAGGGACACAGAATTGTTAATTAGGGCCACAGAATCGTTACTTAGGGACAAAGAAACGCTAGTTAGGGCCACAGAATTCATACTCAGGGACAGACAGAATTGTTACTGAGTGCCAGAGAATTGTTACTTAGGGCCACAGAAACGTTATTAGGCCACAGAATTGTTACTCAGGGACAGACAGAATTATTACTGAGTGCCAGAGAATTGTTACTTAGGGCCACAGAAACGTTATTAGGGCCACAGAATTGTTACTCAGGGACAGACAGAATTGTTACTGAGTGCCAGAGAATTGTTACTTAGGGCCACAGAAACGTTATTAGGGCCACAGAATTGTTACTCAGGGACAGACAGAATTGTTACTGAGTGCCAGAGAATTGTTACTTAGGGCCACAGAAACTTTAGTTAGGGCCACACAGAATTGTTACTCAGGGACAGACACAGAATTGTTACTGAGGGCCACAGAACTGTTACTTAGGGCCACAGAATTGTTACTCGCACAGACACAGAATTGTTACTCGCACAGACACAGAATTGTTACTCAGGGCCACAGAACTGTTTACTTAGGGCCATCAGAATTGTTACTCGCACAGACACAGAATTGTTACACAGGGACACAGAACTGTTACTTAGGGCCACAGAATTGTTACTCGCACAGACACAGAATTGTTACTCGCACAGACACAGAATTGTTACAGAGGGCCACAGAACTGTTACTTAGGGCCACAGAATTGTTACTCGCACAGACACAGAATTGTTACACAGGGACACAGAACTGTTACTTAGGGCCACAGAATTGTTACTCGCACAGACACAGAATTGTTACTCAGGGACACAGAATTGTTACTGAGGGCCACAGAACTGTTACTTAGGGCCACAGAATTGTTACTCGCACAGACACAGAATTGTTACTCAGGGACACAGAATTGTTACTGAGGGCCACAGAACTGTTACTTAGGGCCACAGAATTGTCACTCGCACAGACACAGAATTGTTACACAGGGACACAGAACTGTTACTTAGGGCCACAGAATTGTTACTCGCACAGACACAGAATTGTTACTCAGGGACACAGAATTGTTACTGAGGGCCACAGAACTGTTACTTAGGGCCACAGAATTGTTACTCGCACAGACACAGAATTGTTACTCGCACAGACACAGAATTGTTACTGAGGGCCACAGAACTGTTACTTAGGGCCACAGAATTGTTACTCGCACAGACACAGAATTGTTACTCAGGGACACAGAATTGTTACTGAGGGCCACAGAACCGTTACTTAGGGCCACATAAACGTTAATCAGGGACACATATTTGTTACTGAGGGCCACAGAACCGTTACTTGGGGCCACAGAAACGTTAATCAGGGACACAGAATTGTTACTGAGGGCCACAGAACTGTTACTTAGGGCCACAGAATTGTTACTCGCACAGACACAGAATTGTTTACTTCAGGGACACAGAACTGTTACTGAGGGCCACAGAACTGTTACTTATGGGCCACAGAATTGTTACTCGCACAGACACAGAATTGTTACTCGCACAGACACAGAATTGTTACTGAGGGCCACAGAACTGTTTACTTAGGGCCACAGAATTGTTACTCGCACAGACACAGAATTGTTACTCGCACAGACACAGAAATTGTTACTGAGGGCCACAGAACTGTTACTTAGGGCCACAGAATTGTTACTCGCACAGACACAGAATTGTTACTGAGGGACACAGAATTGTTACTGAGGGACACAGAATTTTTTACTGAGGGACACAGAATTGTTACTCAGGGACAGACACAGAATTGTTACTCAGGGACAGACAGAATTGTTACTGAGGGCCACAGAAATGTTACTTAGGGCCACAGAAACGTTACTCAGGGACACAGAATTGTTACTCAGGACACAGAATCGTTTAATTAAAGAGTATGTCAGACAACATGCAGAGGAGTGGCAGAGGAGGCAATGTTTTAGGAGCGAGCAGACGTGGCAGCAGAGGAAGGGGTCGAGGCAGCACTCTTCGCAGCCAGAGGCTAGTACTCCCGGTGTCATCCAGTACAGTGAGGAAGAGCTAACAGAGGAGACACGCGGTCCAGGAAGAAGTTAGGGGGGGAGACATCCCCTCTTCAGCAGCCAGGCGAAGAAGCTAGTGGCGAGGAGAGTGGCTCGGTAGCCGTCTGAGACAGGTCAGGTCTCCTGACCCACATAGGGTGCTGGCAGATTACGGGCTAGGGGGCTAGTAAGGCCACTGATCTGCCGGAGGACCCTATATTGATGCTGCTGATGATGAGGCTGATCCACTTGGCAGCCTCGTCTCATCAGTGTTCTATTGCTTCCTGCATCATCAGGAGATAGAGGTGCTGGCAGCTTGGCAGCGAGCAACAACAGCTGGTGGGTTATGTCTCCATCGTAACACTTTGGCCATGTGCCACTTTCAGCAGTGTCTCCTCACATCACACTGCTGGTGTGTTGAATTTTTACATAGGGTGCTGGCAGTGCTACGGGAGAGCTGCTGAATCTGCCATAGGCCCCTGGAATACCGAGAATTGCTGCAGCTTAGATAGAGCAGGGAATCGGCCATCCTAGGGCAGGGTCTCCAATGAACATGGGTCGTCCTGTCGCGCGCGAGCGAAGGATGCGGGGGGAAGAGGAATTTTTTGAATATCTTCACAGAGAGGTTGAGGCTGCCATGGAGCCCTAATAAATATCCTCATGACTGCTGCCAGGTCCAGAGTGTCTTCACGGGTAGCCCTGTACGGCCTCCCATTGCTGCTGTCTCCATCGCACAACTCTGCCATGTGCCACTTTCAGGTCTCCTCACACTGCTGGTGTGTAGAATTTTTTTGACATAGGGTGCTGGCAGATTACGGGCCTCCTATAGCTGCTGCCAGGCCCCTAACTGCCATAGGCCCCTAATATACCGCCTCCTCATGCTGCTGCCAGGTCCAGTGAGTCTCTCATGGGTCCCTGTGCGGCCTCCCATTGCTGCTGTCTCCATCGCCACACTCTGCCATGTGCCACTTTCAGGTCTCCTCACACTGCTGGTGTGTAGATAATTTTTTGACATAGGGTGCTGGCAGATTACGGGCCTCCTATAGCTGCTGCAGGCCCCTAATCTGCCATAGGCCCCTATATACCGCCTCCTCATGCTGCTGCCAGGTCCAGAGTCTCTCATGGGTCCCTGTACGGCATCCCATTGCTGCTGTCTCCATCGCCACACTCTGGCCATGTGCCACTTTCAGGTCTCCTCACACTTGCTGGTGTGTAGAAATTTTTTGACATAGGTGCTGGCAGATTACGGGCCTCCTATAGCTGCTGCCAGGCCCCTAATCTGCCATAGGCCCCTATATACCGCCTTCCTCAATGCTGCTGCCAGTCCAGAGTCTCTCATGGGGTCCCTGTACGGCCCTCCCATTGCTGCTGTCTCCATCGCCACACTCTGCCATGGTGTGCCACTTTCAGGTCTCCTCACACACTGCTGGTGTGTGAAGAATTTTTTGACATAGGGTGCTGGCAGATTACGGGCCTCCCATAGCTGCTGCCAGCCCCTAATCTGCCATAGGCCCCTATATACCGCCTCCTCATGCTGCTGCCAAGTCCAGAGTCTCTCATGGGTCCCTGTACGGCCTCCCATTGCTGCTGTCTCCATCGCCACACTCTGCCATGTGCCACTTTCAGGTCTCCCCACACTGCTGGTGTGTGTAGAATTTTTTTTGACATAGGGTGCTGGCAGATTACGGCCTCCTATAGCTGCTGCCAGGCCCCTAATCTGCCATGGGCCCCTATTTACCGCCTCCTCATGCTGCTGCCAGGTCCAGAGTCTCTCATGGGTCCCTGTACGGCCTCCCATTGCTGCTGTCTCCATCGCCACACTCTGCCATGTTGCCACTTTCAGGTCTCCTCACACTGCTGGTGTTTCAATTTTTTGACATAGGGTGTGCAGCATTACGGGCCTCCCATAGCTGCTGCCAGGCCCCTAATCTGCCATGGCCCCTATACCGCCTCCTCATGCTGCTGCCAGGTCCACAGGTCTCTCATGCCATGTGCCCCACTTTCAGGTCTCCTCACAACTGCTGGTGTGTTGAATTTTTTGACATAGGGTGCTGGCAAGATTAGGGGCCTCCCATAGCTGTCTGCCAGGCCCCTAATCTGCCATGGGCACCCCTATACCGCCTCCTCATGCTTCTGCCAAGTCCAGAGTGTGTCATGGTCCCTGTACGGCCTCCCATTGCTGCTGTCTCCATAGCCACACTCTGCCATGTGCCACTTTCAGGTCTCCTCACACTGCTGGTGTGTTGAATTTTTTGACATAGGGTTGCTGCAGATTACGGGCCTCCATTGCTGCTGCCAGGCACGTAATCTGCCATGGGCCCCCGTACCGACTCCTCATGCTGTGACGATTGCAACAAGGTGGAATTCAACCCTACATATGTTAGACCGCCTTTACGAACAGCGAAAGGCCATCACAGATTTTCCTGATGTTAAAAGCGGATAAAGGTACTCCCTGTGTAACTTAGATGTCAGCCATTGGCAGCTCATGAGATCTGACACCTGCGCTTGAGCTCAGCCCTTTGAGATCAGGAGGCCACGCTATTCGTGAGTCGGCAGGACTATGAGGATGAACGACGTCATTCCTCTGTTGCACGTTCCTGGAACAAATGCTGTTAACAATGGCTGGTCAGGGTGCGGTAGACGTGGCGCACAGATCTCAACGCCACATGACCCCTGTGGGGGCAGACAGGAAGAAGAGGAGGAGGTAGAGGAGGACATTGGTGCTCAGGAATTATTGAGTGTAAATGGGTGGTTTTTCCACTCAGCGGACAGGAGTGGAGGAGGCAGGAGCATCTGGTAGAGGGAGGAGGAGGAGGAGAACAGAGGACCCAGACGCACCGTGGGCAGTAATGCTGTGGAGATGGAGGCAGGGAGTCCCTCGCATTCCTTGGCACAAATGGCCCATAGCATGCTCGGAACTTGCTTGCGTAGCGACAGCCGAATAATAACCACAGACAGAGGGATGACTTTTGCTGTCCACCTTGTTGGACCCTCGCTACCGTTTCAAAAATGGTGGCCTTTTTTCACACCTGCTGAGAGGGAGGCCAAAATAACGTACTATAAAAACCACCTATGTAGTCAGCTGGTCTCTGCCTGTCTGCGCCAACGTCCATCCTCAGACACTGTGGGCCCTGTGCGCTCGCGTTCCGCTGCCATGGCAGCAGGGGAGGGGGTGGGTGGGTAGGAGCAGTGGCAGCTCCACCAGCAGCGGCTTGCCGTCAGTCTGCAGTCGATGATGAGTAGCTTTCTTCACCAGCGCAGTGAGGAAACTACTAACCAGCCGCAGCAGCAGCAGCAGCAGCATCAGGTTGGACCTGGAGCAGGACCTCAAACAACAGGTTTTAGGCCTACTTGGACAGCACCCTGCCAACCGAGGTAGACAATCCCCTTGACTACTGAGCAACGAAACTTGACCTTTGGCCCCAACTAGCTGAATTTGCCCTTGAAAGGCTGTCATGCCCGGCCAGTAGCGTGGCATCGGAGCGCGTGTTTAGTGCGGCAGGAGGTATTGCAACTCCGCGGAGGACACGACTGTCCACCCAAAGTGTGGAGAGACTGACGTTTGTGAAAATGAATCAGGCGTGGATTAGTCTGGATTTCAAACCACCAGTTCCTGACACAACTGACTAAATCCGCCATGAATCATGCCCCAAACATGTGCCACTTTCAGGTCTCCTCACACTGCTGGTGTGTTACATTTTTTGTCGTAGGGTGCTGGCAGATTACGGGCCTCCCATTAGCTGCTGCCAGGCCCCTAATCTGCCATGGGCCCCTATACCGCCTCCTCATGCTGCTGCCAAGTCCAGAGTCTCTCATGGGTCCCTGTACGGCCTCCCATTGCTGCTGTCTCCATTGCCCACACTCTGCCATGTGCCACTTTCAGGTCTCCTCACACTGCTGGTGTATTCCATTTTTTTGTCATAGGGTGCTGGCAGATTACGGGCCTCCCATAGCTGCTGCCAGGCCCCTAATCTGCCATGGGCCCCTATACCGCCTCCTCATGCTGCTGCCAGGTCCAGAGTCTCTCATGGGTCCCTGTACGGCCTCCCATTGCTGCTGTCTCCATCGCCACACTCTGCCATGTGCCACTTTCAGGTCTCCTCACACTGCTGGTGGGTTCCATTTTTTGTCATAGGGTGCTGGCAGATTACGGGCCTCCCATAGCTGCTGCCAGGCCCCTAATCTGCCATGGGCCCCCGTACCGACTCCTCATGCTGCTGCCAGGCCCGTAATCTGTCATGGGCCCCTGTTGTCGCTTTTTGGCATATTCCGCTCGTTCAGATGCTCCTTCTCCTGCTACTCCTCTTCACGGATTCCGTCAGCAGTCTTTCTTGGAATCCGTTTCCAAGAGACAACAGTTTGGGAGCACGCACCAGACGGTGCAGAAGCTGAACGTCCTCCTGTCCAAGTTGCTGCTGCCAGGCTCGTAATCTGTCATGCGCCCCTGTACCGCCTCCTCATGCTGCTGCCAGGTCCAGAGTGTGTCATGGGCCCCCGTACCGACTCCTCATGCTGCTGCCAGGCCCGTAATCTGTCATGGGCCCCTGTACCGCCTCCCCATGCTGCTGCCAGGTCCAGAGTGTGTCATGGGTCCCTGTACGGCCTCCCATTGCTGCTGCCAGGCCCGTAATCTGCCATGGGCCCCCGTACCGACTCCTCATGCTGCTGCCAGGCCCGTAATCTGCCATGGGCCCCTGTACCGCCTCCTCATGCTGCTGCCAGGTCCAGAGTGTGTCATGGGTCCCTGTACGGCCTCCCATTGCTGCTGTCTCTATCGCCACACTCTGCCATGTGCCACTTTCAGGTCTCCTCACACTGCTGGTGGTTTCCATTTTTGTCATAGGGTGCTGTATGGCCTCCCATTGCTGCTGCCCTCCACCGCCACACTGTGGCTCCACACTCTGGTTTTGGCCCCGTGACTGCCCAAATGAGTGAAGTGTGCGGTGATTCTAAGATCGACGGCACTCATCTGCATGTCATACTGACTGACAGTATTATTTCTCTTCCCCAGCAGACTCCAAGGGCATTTAAATTAAAGGTACAGTGTTCAGCACTAATATTAAGTCTCTCTGAAGCCTAGAAACACCCTTTTTTAAGTTAAATTCACAGCGAATATATTCGACTCGAATCGAAATTTTTCCACAAATTCGCCGAATCAGTCGAATCGAATTTTTGAATACTTCGCTCATCTCTAATAATTAGTACAACCTATATTATAATTTTTTTTTTTTTTTTGCTGTTTCTCCAAAATGATCAGACAACTAATGCATTTACTAATGAATGTCATACATTCTATTTTCCAATGTTAAACATTTTCACACTTATCTCAAATAATTTGGATACTTCTAATTTCCCAATATAATGATATATCTTCTCTTTAATCACGTAACTATTCTATGTTTAAAGTCAAATGCAGCGCTATAAATGCATGTGATCAATAATGAACGCATGTAAAAACCAAAAAGTGCAAATAATTGCAATAATGATGTAAAAATGGTAAATGGTGCTAAAATAAGTTCATATAATCATTCCTGAATAATGGAATGTCCTTCGTGTGAGAGTACCAACTCAGGGAGGGCCTATGAATGGCACGTGTGGTTTTTCCGTGACAGTAGTGCATGAACTCATGAAAGATAAACCACCCTTGGGACTGGTCTACACTCACCAGAACAAAAGTATTAATGCGCATGGGTTATACACATCACACATCTGGGGGTGCAGCGGAATGCTGGCAGCTATGGGTTAGTCATCCAGCTCCATCCATCCATCCGGGTGGGTGCCCAAATGGTCCTGGGGAGTAATTAGCTCAGCCCACAGGAGCCAGAAAGGTGCTTATAATAGTGTAGTACACTGTCAAAAAGGTGGATGACCTTTCAGGAGTTTATGCACTACTGTTCGTGGTTATATTTATCTTGTGTAATACCATTTTAGTAGTCTATATAATTTGACCAGCGCTTGCTTTATCATTTTTAAACAATGTAACTATTCTACATTGTATCTCAACCTGTGTCTCCCACAGTGGTTTAGTGGTTAGAGCTCAGAACTTACAGTGCTTGGGTCATGGGTTCTAATCCCAGTCATGGCTACATCCCAGTTTGCATGCTTCCCTGTATGGATGTGTTTCTGCTAACACTCAAAAGACATGCTGTTAGGTTCATTGGACCTAGTTACATGGCTGAGTTTCTGCCCTTAGATTATAAGCTCCTTGACATTTATGAATGTTAAAAAAATGGAGTTCAATTTTCTGGGTTGTGTCAGTGCCAGGAATATATCAATCAATTATGATTTTGCCTAATGACTAGAAAGTGGATGAATATTACCTGCGTCCTGTTCTTCTGCCAATTAGGAAATGTGCAAGTTTCATGCTGTGTATATTTCTTTGTAACTTTTTTCTCTTCTTTTAAATCTGTCTCCTTATACAACTTGACCCCATCATCACCTGTCCCATATGCAAATCTATGGATCACCGCCCCCACTCTTTTTAACTATTTACTGATCAAGTGAATGTGTCTCATTTTCTATCAGCTACAGCTCAGATCTCACATTATTATACGATTGCTGATTGTATCTCACCACTAGTCTGATTTAATTCACAATCCCTGGTCAGTCCCGTTCTCTTACCTCTAATAATCTTTAGGACCAGTTCACACTACATGTGTTTCAGTTGCTTTTTCGGCATCACAAACGCACAGAAAGAAGGTTATATGGTTGTCAATGCCATAGTTCACATCAGCGCTTGCACTTTCAGTGCATTGCAGGTGCTGTAAACAAAGTTGACCACGCTGCATTGTTTTCTGCACAGAACTGTACTGGAACACACTGAAATGTCCTTGAATGTACTAAAACGCACATGTCCCTAATTAAATTGAATAAAAAGAAAGTAGAAAAAACTAACTAGAAGGGATACAAAAATGCAATACAACGTGTCCAAAACGCATCCAAAATGTACTGGAACACACTAAACATGCATGCCAAAAGGGCATGCAAAAACGCATCAGGAACACATCTAGACTGTTTCTATAGTGTGAACTGGCCCTTAGGACTTGTTCACACCATTGGTGGTGCAGAAACGCATGCAAGAACACACA